CTCCCTCCTCCCTTCTTCCCTTCTCCCTTCCTCCCTCCTCCCTGTCTTCCCTTCTCCCTTCCTCCCTCCTTCCTGTCTTCCCTTCCTCCCTTCCTCCCTGTCTTCCCTTCTTCCCTGCCTCCCTCCCTTCCTTCCTTCCTTCGTGTAAAATTGAAAAATCTTGACTACAAAATGGAGCAGTCATTTTTTAAAAATATTTTTAGTTGTAGGTGGAATCAGTATCTATTTTTATTTATTCATATTTCTTATGAGGTGCCAAGGATGGAACCCAGGGCCACGTGGGTGTGAGGCAAGCGCTCTGCCCGGAGCCACCACCCCAGCCCTGGAGCAGTCATTTTGTGTGTTATTCTTCCTTTCCATTTTGGTGTTTCTTGATTTTCTTTGCATTATGAACTGACACCTGCTAATAGAAAATACTCCCAGTGGTTGTTGATATTTTATTAAAAGTGGGAAAACATGCAAATATTTTTTAAAAATCGTAGGTTAGGGTTTTTGTTTTCTATCACCTTCTGATATGAGAACTCTCAGACCGTTGTGTGGTGGGGAAGTGTACCTACTGGCTGTTTGTGAGCAAGCGTGTCTGGAGCCTCGTGGCATTGCTGCAGACCTGAGCCCAGGTGCGAGGAAGGACACAAGGAGCAGCTGAGAGCTCTCAGTGCAAGGGGCCAGGTCCCCAAGGAAGGCACCAGCTGTGTCCTGACGGGGGCATACTGTCTGGTTGGTCAACAGGCCTTCATGCTTGTATAAAAAATTTATGCTTAATATTTTTAAAGAAAGATTATAGATGTTCACTTTGAGATATAATACTGAAAGGAAAACTTAAGAATCACCTTTATAGCTGGTTTTTAACCTGTGTTGTCTAATGTGGAAATTAAAAGTTAACTATATAAGAAAGGCCTTAGGATTACAAATGCTTATGTGTATGTATACATATTATATATATATATCTGTGTGTATGTATGTACATATACATGTATATATGCAGATACACTTAAATATACTTATTTTGCATGTATGGTGCTGGTGATTTGACCCAGGGCCTTGTGTGTGGTAGGAAAGTACTCTCTACCACTGAGCTACTCCCATGACCCTGGAATTATATTTTGATAAAAATGTTCTGTGCACAGAACATTTAGTTTTAATTTTTTATGAAAGGAGAACAGCAATTATTTCAGTTTGTTTCCTGGCTCCCTTTAGGAACATGAGGAGGTGACTTGAAAGGGCACTGGTACGCTGGGTGGTGTTCCGTGCCCACTTGAGCAGAAGCTGCAAGCTAGGGCTGAAGGCTCTGGTTTCTGGATAGGCTGGGCCACTGGATTTCCAGCACATCTGGGCAGTGCTCTGGTCCCACCTAATTGGGCTGTGCTCCTCTTCCCTGCAGAGGTGGCTCCAAGTGGCTTGGGAATGCAGTGCGTGTGCAGGAGGGTGGTAGGAAGCCTGTTGGGCGAGCCCAGCCCACCCAGGGGACCCAGAGCTGGTGATGATGGCCCTCAAGTCCAGGCTTTCTGCATGGGGATGTCGCAAGTCTATTCCTCATAGTGTGGGCAGCCTGAGCCTGGCCCTGTCGGGGGCAAGGTGGGCAGGATGTTGCCAGGGCTGTGTGGTAGCCTCTGCTCTGGCCAGGCCCGCTTGCTTCCTTCCCACTGCAGGGCGGCCCTCTTGCTGAAGAGGTGATGAGGAAGCCCATTCATGACTGTTCTCCAGCCCTGGACTCAGCAGGCCAGTAGGAAGCATCCCACGCCCAGCAGCAGTGTTGATCCCTGCCCAGCATGCTGCTGATCCTCGGAGGAGCTTCGCCAGTGTCACGTGTGGGCTCTGAATTCAGCCAGCAGGGCTCTGCAGAGTGCAGTCAAGGAGAATCACTGGCACTGGGAGCTCTTGCCCTGTGACCGCTCTTAGTGGAGCTCAAGTCTGAGCTCTTCTGTGGGGTTGGGAGGCCCCAGAGTGGCACGGTTCTCGGCTTCTAGCCCAGGCCCCAGGGTCTGAAGCTGGGGACTGTGCAGTGCAGCCTGGGGGCGCCTGCTGGGAGGAGGGAGGCCCTCTGCTCCTGGAGGAGAGCTGAGACCTGCGTCTCTCTCTGACTTAATAAAGGTGCAGCCTGCCAGACAGCAGAGTCCCTGGAAA